GAAAACGCATCTAAGGGGGTCTAAGTTCAAAAATTTCTGAATTTTTAACTTCTGAACCCCAGACCCCCGGGCCCCCTTCGCATGCTCGCAAGTTTGGGTTACGGTTAGACCCCCCCCCCTGATACAAATCCTATACACGCTCCTGCCATATCAAATAGTTACCAGGGTACGTTCCGGTATACCGAGACAGGGGCGTAGCCAGGATTTTAAAAGTTGTAGGCACGACTATCTGAGCGGAGCGCCGCCATGGGTTGGTGCGGAGCGTAAAATTTTTTTTTTGGTTTTACAAACCCCCCAGATGGCTGGAAACGGCCCTTCCCAAGTGTTCATTTTGGTTCCCTGGCCTCTTGCTAACTTGAGACACCTCATTCAATATCACTTTTAAACCAAAAAACAAACGAGTTAAAATAGTGTTACGAACGAGTTAAAATGTTAAAAAACTGACAAGATCGGATCCTAGTCTTTTTCGGCGGGTAGAGTGTTGAATGAAACGGCACGCGATAGAAATGACAGAAGAATAGGTCACCTAATTTAGCCATATTCTTGCTACGTTCATTTCAATAGTTTTTCCTGTCTAGACTCTTAAACTCGTCCAGCAAGCTTATGGATGTGCATTATGGGTGTTTTAAAAAAAAAAAAAACTTGGCCAAAAAAAGTGTAGGCCCGGGCCTACAGTGCTACATACTGGCTACGCCCCTGCGAGAGTAGACCTTATGAGCGATACGCTGCCCACATAGATCTAGCGCTGTTTTGTACTGTATTATTAAGAAATTTGATTATTTTAACCGCTCAAGGCTGTTAATTACAGCTGTCAGATTTGTTCTCTATGAAAAAGACTGTCTTCAGTACATGTCTTTGTTTTTGAATTACATGCAGTAAAAATTTAATAATAAAAATAAATCTTACGATTCTTGCGGAATGTACTTATTATTACCTCTTGTATTATATATATGCCTATATTGAATTAGTATAGTATTTTGATGGCTGTACTGTATAACTGTATATATAGTATATCATACATGCCAACCCTACCGCTTTACGCGGTAGACTACCGCTTTTTGAAGACTTCTACCGCCTACCGCTTTTAATACTATTCCTACCGCATTGCAAAATATTTTGAAAAAACTTCTTTTTTTTCATTTTTTTCATTTATATATGTGACATATAAGTACATTTTATAAGGGCTACATTAACTTACCCTCTTTGAACCTATTCCAACGACATTAGCATTAGCATTGTACACGTGAGACCTCAGTGTTGTTGTCCCAATGTCGATAGCCAAGATGTATGCAGGATCAGGGAGAGTCGTTACTATATCTCCACTCAATATTTCTGTTCCATTTCTTGCCTCCATCCCTCTCAACGACGACACACGTACGCTGCAGATCCACACCTACGCAGTAACGGCAGTCTTAGTGAATTACAACCAACAAAGACAGAACGACTGACTGACTGTCAGACTGACAATTTTCATGTGCCTATGGCTATGTACACGCTTGCTAACGTCAGCCCCTGCCCAGAGTCCCAAGGCCAAACTAGAATTGGCCCGTAGCGCATTATGCTCTGACTGGAACATCGGCTACAACGTTTCATTGTTAGTAAACAAACATGCCTAAACCTGTTAAGGACAAGACACAAGCCACGTGTTTGTAGTGACAAGGGTTGTACTACAGCTTGGCCGAACTTCGGCCCTGCTGAACGGCAATTGTCAATAACATGCTAAATGGCTAATGCCATGGCACATGTACGTAGATTAATGAGATTCATTTGACACATCAAACTGGCATGACAACAAACAAATGCCGGTGAAATGGGCGTGCATACATGTGCCGATGTTTACGTACGTACCCGTATGCTGTAGCGGTACAGCAAATTGCAATAAACACGCGTTTCATTTACAAACTAAGATATTCCGATTCGATGCATATTCCTAATTAGGCGAAAATTTACTTATGAACAGTATAACAGAAATAGCTAGATAATAGATTGGATAACAGCCTGCTTACAACGATACGAAATGATCAACGAAGAACATTAGATATAGAATAGCAAACGTGGCTGCCATTTTCAATATAGAAACCCAAATATAGCCTGAAATCCATGATTGGATCGTGTTGCCACGCAGAGACCAATAACCGTAGCGTTTACAAATAGCATTGGCCTAGCAGACGAAAAATGTGCACGAGACCGCCGATTTCATAAACTTACGGCTTTTTTTTATAAAGTGTTTAGACTTATCTATAGGAAAGCAAAACTAAAATAACTAGAGCAACGGATGCGATAAATTGTTGTATATGCACCTGGAAAAAAAAGCAAGTTGGTATATTTTTGAGAAATTAATTTGCATATATCCCAAGAACAATTATTATAATTAGGCCTACACTGTACACATGCACATTGTATATTTTGTTCTCAGTGTATGTTCTATCTCCTTTTACATTCGCAGCCTACGAGCAACAGTTAGTATTATAAATATAATAAGTTAGTATTGAAAGTTTCTATATGACTATGATCAACCTAATTAGTTGATAACTAATTTAGTGTCATAGGATTCATTAGATTCATGTCCTTTTCCTTCATGTTCCAGTTGTTTCCATTGCAGGGGATACTTAGGCTGAAAGGGTCTATGTCCCCCAGGGTACTGCCGGAACGTACCCTGGGTACGGTCCGCGGTCGCGTATACCGAACGCTACGCTGTCACTATCATAATATGCCGACCGTAAATCGGCTACTCGACTAACAGAGTCCTCAGGAGTCCGCCTACGCCTACCGTCCAACTAACCCTAACCTAAATCACTAACGCCTAAGATTCCTAACGCCTAACGCTAAGCGCCTAACCCTACCAATCACGGGGCCGTGTACAGGGGGGTACAGCTCCCAGACCATGTACTGTCACCAACTGACACCACTCGAAATATACACAATACCGTCATGATCATATACCCTAGATATACCCACTCGCCACCACTCTTATCGAGGCCGTCTGGGAGATTTATGTTGCAAATGTGGAATTCGGATCGTGTGTATCCTGCGATTTGGCAATGAGCCATGGCGCGGAATAGGTCTGAGTGCTCAATATTAGTGGTGCGGCTAGCTGTAGGCGATGATAGAAGGCAAATAGCCGGTGATAACGAGGCTGAGGCCCCTGCGGGCGCGGGTGTCTTTTCGGCTAACCCCTTTTCATCCTCCCAAATAATCGTTCTTTCTGGCATCATTGTATTTTTGCAAATTTACTGTGATATCGAACTAAAGTTATTTTGAAAATTTTTAAAAAACTTCCGTATAGGCAGACATGATGCGTTAAAACCCCCCCCCCCGCCCGCCCCCCCCCCCGCCCCCCCCCCCCCCGCCCCCCCCCCCCCCCCCCCCCCCCCCCCCCCCCACTATCTACTCCAACTGCTTGATCCCTCCGTCCAGCGAGAAGCAATCTTTTTCCCCTCTATTTGCACACGCCCTTTCTCTTTATCATGTAGGTGCCCTATCGCGGTGTCATTATGGATAGCAGTATATACCGCTTTATTTCTCTGCTGATCTTTTCTATTGTTACCAACCCTGTCAGCAGATGATGTCTCGAGACGCGGTTACACAACAAAGATATAACTGATGATCCATGAATTATTGAAGTTATTGTTATGATCTATCATCACTTATCAATCCCTTAGCATCGCATGTGTGTATAGTCGATAATATTGGACCAGTAACGCATGCCGTAACCTCATGGAAGACGTAGAGACGCACAAAGTATGATCGAATGACTAGTAAACAGAATTTAAGCTGCCAGTGTAGTGAATCCAAGGGCGTAAATCCCGGGGGGCATCGGGGCGAGGATCTCGCATCCCCCCCGCTATTGAAAGGAGGGGGATGGCGCTTGTACAATATACCCCCCCCTCGACATTTCAACAACAGAAAAAGATAAAAAAGATAATAGCCAACAAGTATGGTTGCAAACATATCAAAAACACGTGACCTTGTGATTAAAT